CATTTATAAATTGTGAAGAATATGTATAAGACGTCATCGCATAAGAGAACCGCTCACCCTTGTTGCCCGTGTTCTTGGTTGCCGTCGCATGCTAAACTTTTGGAGTTTTGGGTGGACTCACAAAGAAAATAGAAGAAATGTGTATTACAGAGAAAAGAAAATGCGCATTTTTTTATTAGGGCTCTCTCTTAAAACGTAAGAGAACTGTCCCAACTTTTTTAAAATTGTGGACACTGCCCGACACGGGTGTCCTACTTTTAGCAAAATTACGACACGACCCGACACGGGTGTCCGAGAAGTGTCCAGGTGTCGGATACGAGGACTCTTCGCCTTCTAGAAGTGTCCGTGCAGCATAGTCTAAAACAATTTTTGAGATACCCCACAAAATGGCATAAGTTGGATCGACTATTCAACTCGTCTACCACTAGCCACTTGTAAGTGGATTATCGGCAATGTCAAAGTTCATATGGTGTGGAACTAACTGCTTTGGTGTTAACCCTATTCAACAAATACGTGGTGGTATGGAGTGCATGACCCTATAAGTACGTCGGTAACTTAGTGAATTACGTTCTATTTGAGATAGTCGATAAACTCACCATTTAAGTATTTTCCACTACGATCGGATTGTAGTTTCTTAATACTTCGTCTGAGTTGCTTTTCTACTTCATTTCTGAAATCTTTAAACATTTCATAGATTTCAAATTTGTACTTCATCTAGTTTACGTAACCATACCTTGAGTAATTGTCAGTAAATGTTGCGAAGTAGTTAAAACCACCCGTGGCACTAACACTTAGTGGACCACACACGTTTGTATAGATAAAATCCAGTAGACCTTCAACGTTCCATTTGTCCCTTAAATGGCAATTTGGACATTTTATTTAAACAAAATTTACAAGCCCACGGTGAGTTCATATCATCCAATTGTGAATAATCGCTCACGTGCAAACTCATTCATTCGTCATAAAGAAATATGTCCTAATCTAGTGTGACGAAGTAGTGTAGGGTTATCTTCTATATCGAGTTCAGGTTAAAAATTTCATTGTTTTTACTTCACATAATTTCAATGAAAAACGTATGTTTCTCAGAATGTTTCTGATCAAGATACTTCGTGCAATTTACAGAGCCCAATGGTCTGTCTTTCCACATTGAAAGCAAGCATCAATTATATGCTTGTTTTCCTTAGCCTTGCGAGTACTCGGCCCCTAGTCTATCGTTTGCTCGACTGGAAACTATTTCCCTTTTACTCTCTTCTTCGACTTCGAACTATTCTTAGTAAAAAATACAGAAAGTGCCGAAGGCAAAACATACTTGTCTTCCTTTATAACCGACTCGTATTTCAACATTTTGACCAACTCCTTCAAAAGGAGAATCAACCATATTCTAGTTGAAATTAATTGTGAACGTTTCATAAGAGGTAGTTAGTGATGGAATCATGAGATTCACCAAAAACTCTGGTGGGAGATAGACATTGTGGTCACACAAGTTCTATGGGAGCGAGTCATCTTAAAACCATGCTCATGGACCGGAGTCCTTTCGCTTAACCTAAGAGACATCAACTCTTTAGTTGTCAGAAACATCATTGTCGTAATGCTCTCACTATACACGATCTCGAGGTGAGCCTTTGTGTTAACAACATAAAGGTCATTCTCATAATTCATCGCTAACTTGGGCGACTAGGTGCTATCATATAACACTTCGTCAAAACTGACACCCTTCTTCCACTTCTAATTTGTGGTGGTCTCCTACTAAGTCGAGTTATCATGAAGTTTGGTCAGGGTATATTTGAGTATGCACAATTGCTCTTGGAGCAAAAACACCAAAAGAATGTTTATTGAGCTAATCAAGGTTATTATTGCCATTAAGTATTGTTGGTATCGAGAATTGACGATAAATGATTCTTAGCATTTATACTGAAAAAGTTGAAGTAGACTTATAAAAGATAATTCATTATTAATGATTGCAATTAAAGATTTGGACTTTTATCATTAATTGTATTTCCACTAAGAGCCTGTTTGGCTAAGCTTATAAGCTCCTAAAAACATCTTATAAGATGTTTAAGAAATTATAAGTTGTTTAAAAGTGTTTGGTAAAAAAATTAGAAAAGATCTTTTTTTTTTTCAAAAAATAAGCTATTAGGGAGCTTATAGGATGTTTTTAAAAAAAATACATCCACCCCACTTTTTTTCCTTTAAGATCTGATTTGATTATTTACTAAAACACTCAAAATACAAAACTATCCTCAAATATTTTATTATATTACATGAATACTAATAACGTTTATATTTTTTCAAAACAACGTATTCTTGTAATCAAGATTAATTATTAGTTAAAATATAATTATCATAATAATTGTAAAAACGATTGTTCTCTATTTACATTTTATATGTATATAAAACACTCGAATATTCTTATTATCTCAATAATAAATTATATTTTATTTTATCTATAAAAAAATTACATTTTTTACAACCTTTATTTTATATTATCATACTAATTTTATATTATTATTTTTATTTGAAAATTTAATTTGTAAATATTATAATAATATTTTAGGATCAAAAGTATTTGAGTCAAAATAAGTTTAACAATTATAATGGCGTCATGTACTTTTCTGTCATTATAGCGATAATCAGACTTTTTATTTCCAAACACCTGAACAACTTATAAAAACTAAAAGTAACTTATAAGCCACATATCCAAACACCTTTAAAAATAAATTTTAAAATAAGATTTAACAGTTTATCAACTATGTAGGAGCTTATAAGATGTTTTAAATAAGCTTAGCCAAACGGGCTCTAAATTTTATCGAATTCTACCACCCTCTAGCAGAAAAACGAGAAAACATATTTTTCTTTAATGGGCTTTAGGTCCAATAGGCAAATGTAACAAGTAGTTAATCTAGCTCGATTACATTTGTCCATTGGTAGATGTCCATCAATCATATCGTTATATGACTCTAAAGATTTATTTACCTCACACTTGATACTGACCTAAGTTAATCTCACAAATTAAAATCTTTGTGCGTCAAGTCTAACCTACCAATCAAAGATCCTCATATAACTAATTATACCAAACTAATGCAGCCCCTAGTTAATCTAGCCGACCACGTTAATCTAGCATAACCCTTTCTATGACTACCTTCATCATTATGTCAATTAAATAATAGCTTACCCTACAATAGCACTCCCCGCTAACATGGCTTACTGCACTATTGCAAGGGGCTACACATAATTTAACCGTTGGTAGAAGGAAATAAAAATTCAACACATTGGTTTTTCTTTATATATAACTTGAAATGATTCTTAATGAATTAAAAATAAGGGATTTATTATTATTTTGTTGTTATCTCATCAGAATTATTGGATATATCGATTGGATTCCTACAACTATGTTCTCTAAAGGTATATGGAAACTCCATAATCTAGTATGCCTTCCCACAGACGGCGCCATAATGATGATTCTAAAGTTATATCACCTTAAGTAATTAAGGTAAGATGAGCTGGGAGAGCAAAGTGGATCACTGGCTCACGAGCTAGATTGTCCTGGGTACCTACGTTCAGAGAACTCGTGAACTAGGTGGGGGTTGATCCGGCGGAAACCACTCCGACGCTCAAGTCAGACGTACAAATAGTAGAAGTAGTTGAGATAATACAAATTGTAGTATTGCTTAGATAATATGGCGTACCTTAACAAATGAGTTATAACATTTATTTATACCTCGTTGATTGGGTTGGAGTTGGTTAATTGAGATTATCGGACCCAAACCTTATCTGAAGGTGATTGGGCATTCGATGTAGTGAGCTTCAAACTTGGGCTCGTGACCCAGTAGGTTAAGAAATTATAGACCCATTGGTTTGGTCCAATTAGGCATATCAGCAACGATAACAATGGTAAGATTAGATGTACTATAATGGACGTTTCTACCCTCAAGAATCTCACATGCCACTCATGTGTAAGGGATTCCGGCTAAAATTGAACAAAAATTCAGAAATTAGGGCACCGCGCAACCAATTATTGAGTTTAGGTAAAAATTTGCACAAATTTGTAATTCAGGGGGAAGGTGCAAACGGGTGATAGTTTGGGTGGCAAAGTGCCATAAACCCTATTCTAAATGAATTCTCATTATCCTGGGTAAAATTCATTTTGCACTCATGTATTATGCGAAATGTATCTTTTACTCCCTGAAGTATAGAAAACATCAACCACCTCTTGCCGTTAGCATTTTTCCTAATTCCGTTAGTCAAACCCTTTGACCGACTATTGCAAAGAAATGTTGGCTTTTTTTTTTTTTTTTTTTTTTTTTTACGAAAATACCCCAAAAAAATTATACATATAGGTTGCTTAGTTTTCACAAATGTTCACCAGATTTTTTCGTTTTCGTTTTTTTTTTTCACTTTATTCAGTCATTTTTTTTTACTATTTTCAACTATTTTCTTTATAAAAAAACTGAAAGGCAAATAAATAAGAATGAAGCTTTGCAAATTATGAATGTAAAACCTATAGAGAAGAAAAACTAAAAGCCCTGAAAACTAAAAGAAACCCTAAAATTGGAATAAAACCGGATGAAAGAATTGCAAATTAAAAACAAAGCTTTTCATATTATAATGGAAAAATCCTCAAAAAAGAAATCTGAAAATCCCTAAAATCAAATACTAAAAATCTACAAATAGCGCTAATTTGAACGAACGCTAAAAATCGTCAACAATCCACAAAAGATACTCCTAAAAAAATTAGGGATTATATGACATAAAGCATGGTAACAAAATTATTGGCTCATTGCACACACAAATTTAACACCATTAAAAGTTTGACCATTGACAGTTAAAAATAGGAGGATTTTGATGTTTCTATATATCAGGGTAAATGATACATTTCAAATAGTACAAGGGTGAAAAATAATTTTTATTATTTTTTCATAATGTCTATCTATATGTGGCAATCCAAAATTATTACATGGGAAGAAGTAGGTGAATTTCCCGTGTGGATAAAAGTCAACAATAAAAGGCGTCTCGCATAAAAGAGTACTACCACTACTACTCCTCACTCGTTCAAATCAGATCCGTGATCACTAAACCAATCAATCTGTAGCCGTTGGATTTTACGGCACAATAAATCAACGGTCAGATTTGATGCAACTCCTTTGTCTTTAAATTACCGTGTTCCTGCACAGCACAGGCGCCTCAATGCGATTCCTAAACTCGTAAGTCTCTCTCTCCTCTCTCTCGCGCTCTCTATCCCTCCCCGTTTCTCTCTCTCTCTCTCTCTCTCTAAGAGATGTATGTATATGTGTATTTACTTTTGTATCTATAGGATTATGCCATTTCCGGAAGATTTTCCACTTCCTTTTTTACATCTAGGGTTCATTTGAAATGGGTCGGACCATCCGATTCCGACTTTTCTCTCTTCTGGATCCAAGAATTTCATTGTGCTGTTGCTTGCGTGAATTTCCGTCTTTAGGGTTCGATTCCTCTCTGCTTCATGCTCTCAAATCGGACAGAAATGTGGAATTTTTTAGTTTGATTAGGGTTCGGAATGATTTTTCAAGTTTAGGTTTTCTTCAAATTTTAAGCCTTTTCCTCTTTACTGGTTTTGCATTAGTTTGGTTGAAGTTTAATTAATTTTGAGAAAATGGAAAATATTAGAATTCTAAACTGAATTGAGTAAGCAAGGAAATATTTATAGATACTCAATTTTGAGCAAATTCATTGGTAGGAATTGGGGTGTTTAGTACGATTTTTTTTTTAATTGTTTGTTTGTTGAAATGGCCAGAGGATACATTTTTTGGATGAGGAAGAGTTGATATGTGCAGAATTTCGGGGTTAAATATATGGCACCGACTATCCCTATAGATTACACAGGACAGAGGGAATCGAAACGGTTCTCAAAGACGGGATCTGGGGATATAATGGGGAAAACACGCAAAGTTTCCAAGGGTTTCTCCTCGGCGCCAGTGCCAGATTATAGGCTTTTATCAGACTCGATGGAAGCAGGAGGTTTTGGGAGCTCAGGCCGATTCGACGCAGGATTGACTGCTTCGCAAGACACTTTCGTTCCTAATAGGAAGTACATTAGCTTGGGTGGGGATGGTTACGATAGGTCCGTTGTGCCAGTTCAGCTCCTTCCACTATCGAAGATGTCGTCCTTTGAGAGGAGGGAGTCGGAAGTCAGGTTGAAGAGTGAGCTTGAACAAGTAAGGAAGCTTCAGAGGAAGATAGATTCTTTGACCTTTGATGCGATTGTCCGCCCCCCGTTGAGTTCCGATGTTCACAGTTCTCAAAATGGGCCGAAGAGACCTGCTATGGTGGAAAGCTTGCCGGTTTCTACTAATAACGAGCCTGTGGCTTCGAGGAAGAAAAAAGGTCCTCCCGGAAGAAATGGGGCCCGCACTAAAGGCGGGCCTATGGTGAGCGGGCGCAGTGTTTCGGGGAAGCAGGGCCCGCCTCAGTCCAACAGTTCTGTAATGTTGATGAAACAGTGTGAGACCCTGTTAGCTCGTTTGATGGTGCATCAACATGCTCGGATGTTTAACGAGCCTGTTGATATCGTGAAGCATAAAATCCCGGATTATTTCATCATTATTAAGCATCCGATGGATTTAGGGACGATAAAAGATAAGTTGGCTTCGAATCAGTATTCCAGTCCAATGGAGTTTGCTGCGGATGTGAGACTCACCTTCAGAAATGCAATGACGTACAACCCTCCTAAACATGACGTTCATGTTATGGCAGATGTGCTTAGTAAATACTTTGAAATGAGATGGAAAGTAATCGAGAAAAAAATCCCATCAACAACGGATGAATCCACGGCTTCGAAATCAAGTGTCGTTATAGAACCTGAAAACGTTAATGTGCCTCCTCCTGCTAAGAAGCAGAAGACAGTTTCATTGGAAACCAAGACGGTCAAGCATGAAACAGAAAAGCGTGTAATGAGTGATATTGACAAACAGAAACTGGGAGCAGAGTTGGAGGCGTCAGTGGCAGAACTCCCTGACCATATAATCATGTTCTTGAAAGAGAACACTTCGAATGGTAGTCAAGCGAGCGAAGATGAGATTGAAATTGATATCGACGTTCTTAGTGATGATACCCTATTAACGTTACGCAAACTTCTGGATGCTCATCTGTTGGAGAAGCAGAAAAGCCAAGTACCAGTAGAGCAACATGAAATTGAGGTAGATGTAGTATGTGTGTGTACGCTGCTCTTATACTTCGTATACGGATATAATTATCTCTAAACATGATGCACGTTGTATGATATCTGATGCATATTATTTATGTATATACTCTTCGCAGATGCAAAAGGAACCCGGATTTAGCAATTTATCTTCCCAGCCTTGCAAAGGTAACCTTGTTTTTGTGCAGATGAATTTGCTTTTGAACTTCAGTTGTCATTATACCTTGTTTGATATCTCATTCGTTCGTTTTTCACATTAATCAGACAACGATCCAGCTGATGAGGATGTGGATATTGGTGAAAATGATCCACCACATATATCAAGTTCTCCTCCAACAAAGATTGCAGAGGATGCCGACAGAAGGAACAGTAATTGTACTAGTTCAAGGAGCTCCGCCTCCACTAGTGGTGATTCAGGCTCGTCATCGACTGGTCAGTGCTGTTATGAACCTTTGATGCATTGTTTCCACATTTATTTATCTTGTTTTCCGTTTCTATTTGTTCCGAAACACATTTCAGTTTATTATGTTTGGCATATAATTGACATAACCTGGATTTGTTCTTACGTACTCTGGATATGCGTGACTGTATTCTTAGGACAGATCTGAATTTCACCGGTTTGAAAATTGATTGTTCTTTGTTCCTTTTGGCTACATTGTTGTGCATGAATATACTTATTGTTTCAGTTCAGTCAGTATTTTTGAACTTTTGGGAGTTCTTCAGACCCATGCCCGCCTTTGTTCTGCATGAATTTTATAAGAATTATTTTGAAAGTTAAGTTCATATTGAATTGTATAGATGGATGAATGGAATTATTCTAGCTAATTCTGGAAAAGATTGAAGTAAGGAATTGCTTACTAATTTGTTGAAGTAGGACCAGCCACGAGAAACATTAGTTGCACTTGCATGGATATTAGTGTAGTAAAACGATTGATTTTATAGGGTTTAAGTTACAATCATTGCTTTCCTTGGGTTAACAGTAATAAGCTTATTAAAATTTCATGTGTTTAAAATGATGAAAATAAATTTTGAAACAAATATGGAGCATTTGGAGCTTGTTAAATTTAATTCTTGTGCAGAAACAAGTATAACTATTATTTGTTGAAATTTTTATTATTTTGGTTATATTATTAGAAAAAAACGGTTATGTTGTTCTCTGGGAACTGTGGCCGGACAGTAAACCAATTCAATGTAATATCGAAGCAGTGACAAACATCACTAGATGATGAGCAACTCCATTGAACTTGTTGAGTTGAATGGTAACTTCATTCTTGATTACACGAGAACTAATGAAAGCATTTCATTTGCTGCTCTTGGATGAAAGTTGGATTTTCCCAAAATGTCTATGTTTCTATAACAACTGTAGGAAAACTTTAAGTGGATTAAGAGTGTAGTTTGATCTTAAATAGCACTTCATATTCAATGCCAGTTATAAGCTCAGAATTTGGGACATGAGTGTTCACCATTCTTGTATATATTTGTTTGTCTCCACAGAGTTATTAAGTAAATTTATCTGCTGGACTTCCATATATACCATCTTATATGGCATAAGTATAGTTTGCATAAACATGTCTTCTGCCTGTATGTTTTTCGGGAGAGGATTAAGTTTTGAACTTCACAATTAATATTACAGGTAAATAATGAAAAATTACTTCATCCTTCTAACAAATCGTTCAGAATCTTGTAAGATTTGACAAATGTGAAGTATTTTAGTTATGTCGTTAGAGACAATTCAGGTGATGTATTTTTTTCCAAGTTGTCAAATATCCATTTTGTTGAATTTCTTCAAATTCGTACCGTTTTCCCTCTCATATTCTTTCAGTTTCTTGAATAGTCGATTCTTTCAACTTCAACAATGATTCTTCACATATTCTACTCAATTCAATTTGTGGATAAAGAAAATAAATACTCGAGTTATTAGTCATGGATTATAGTTCAACACTTTTTATTACTTCTACTTATTACTGATTCACTTATTGTGCCTTTCCCACCTAGTCTAAAGATGTCAAAGTAACCATCAAACTGTCATTCGAAAAAACTGTAAAGCTCAATCTCACTTTGCTTCTAAATAATTCAATTTTTTTTACTGTTCATGGTTCAAATTGTTCTTTATTTTATATGATTTTAGGAGGAAACATATAGCTTAATTTTTTCTAGTCCGTTACCAAGGTTGATTTAGATATTTGTGTTCGGCAAATTTATAGTTAATTGCTTTATGCCAATGAATGTTATCTATATTTCAGAATATGGGATGGTGTAGTGGATTTTTTGTTTTTTCCTTGCCACAAGTTTTAGCCTAATTTGCATCGTCTCGGCAGTTTTGCGTATTGGTGGCTTGATTACCTTGTTATTTGGAGGGTGTTATAGTGTAGCTACTTGACAACATATACGGTTCCCTGTGTAATATTATTTCTTTTCGTTTGTCTCTCTTCCTTATGTTGATGCCATTGCTTCTTCTCCTTTCTCTAAAGGTTAAATATGCAGATGACACTTAAGATTGCATGTATAAGAATCATGCAAAAATAAACTTATACTATTCTCGTTGAGAACACATTTGGTTCTCTGTGCAGATCTTCTTTTTGCTTGTCTCATTTATGAGTTGAAAATTCTTAAAAACAGTTTTTTTTACCGAAAAACAAAAAAAGCAATTGATCTGACTGGTCAATAAAGGGATCTAGAGAAATCTGTAGTGTTGACAGCGGAGAAGGATATTGCTGGTAATGTCCCTGTGTGCTTGACATGTTTGCTTACAGGATGTTTTATTGTTTTGGGGAGATCGCCTCATCTGTGTGTGTGTGTGTGTTTTGCCCGTGTGTGCGTCTGTCCTATTGTATTTTCTTTTGCATTAGCTTGGCTCCCAAGCCTTCTTTCACTCTATTTTGCGTCTTTTTGGGAGGGTAGTAGTTTGAGAGTGATTCTTTGTCTTTCAAGAGGTCGGTGCATGTGCATCATTGATAAACAGTTAAATACGCTCATCTGATTCTGTGTAATCCACAACCTTCATTGTATAGCTTATTTCCGTTATATACACTGACATATTTTTTATTCATCGTTGTCATTCCAAGAAGATTAGAAAAAATAACTATCTCAGCTGGTATCTTTTATGTGATCTAATATTCTATTTTCCATTTTACTCAGATAGTGACTCAGACAACGAACAAGCCGGTACCAAGAACCCCGTTCCTGCAAATGCTGTGACTGTACGCTTTTGTTTTAAACATTTTTCCCCTCTTCTCTTTATGTCTCATTAAATTTTCCCTTCTTTTAAGGTTCATTTTTCTAGTACTGACATAAATTGCCTTAATTTGTACTACAGGAAACTGCAGATACTAGAGCGGGGAGGGCGGAAAGTGAGCTAGGCGATCCAAACATTGGAGGTGAGGCTCTTGTGCAGTTTGCAATATAATTTGATAATGCTGTTACTTTTGCATTTTAAGGTTGTAATATCTTTTGAATTATTTGTAGATTTTCGGAATGCGAAACCTGAGCAAAATTCAGTCTCGAACTCATCCTCTATCGATCCTAATTGTGGCCAAGAGGGTAAGCAGTGATCCCATAATGCAGAAAAAAATGTGTGTGCTATTAAAATGTACAGCATAATCTCACCAAACATGCTGTAAACATCTTAGGGGAGAGTGCTCCGTCAGAAAGGCAAGTCTCCCCTGAAAAGCAGTACCGCGCAGCTTTGCTGAGAAGCCGATTTGCTGATATTATAATTAAAGCTCAAGAGAATACCATAGAAAAAGTACGTAACTCTGGTTTACTAGTGAAATTGCTTAAATGTTGCCTCCCTCTACATATATATATATATATAGTCATATAGACACACACACTATGCGGTGTTTGATTGTCACATCTGAAAACTTTCAGGGGGAAAAACCGGATCCTGAGAAACTGAAGCTCGAGAGGGAGGAGATTGAAAGGCGAAGAAGAGAAGGTTTGATAGAGTTAAAATGAAATGGAATAGTTAATAGTTGGCGAATTTGGTTTCAATTGCGTTTGTAAAAAATTGTTATGTAAGTCGAAGTTTCTCACGCAATGATGTTATCAACCTGTATTTAATAGAGAAAGCTCGATTACAAGCAGAAGCGAAAGCTGCAGAAGAGGCTAGAAAAAAAGCTGAAGCAGAAGCTGCAGCGGAAGCCAAAAGAAAAAGAGAACTCGAAAGAGAAGCCGCACGACAAGCTCTTCAAAAGGTAAAAAAAGATGATATATTTTCGTGGTATGGCAAATAAATTTACTATTTTATACCCGTTCAGCTTAAAAGCATTACATTGTGAACACAGATGGAGAAGACTGTGGATATAAACGAGAATAGCCAGTTTATGGAAGATTTAGAGCTGTTTAGATCTGCTGGTCCAGATGAGCACTTACAGAACCTGCTGATAGAGCAAGCCAGCCCTGAAAATTCCGAAAATGCCCTTCTTGGTAGTTTCAAGTTTCAAGCAAGCAGTAATCCTCTGGAGCAACTTGGACTGTACATGAAGAACGACGAAGACGAAGAGGAAGAAGAAGTTGAGCCTCAAACTGTTCTAGAAACTTCCGATAATCCAGAAGAAGATCCAGATGAAGACGAAGATCCGGAAGAAGGGGAGATAGATTGATTGATCAATCAGCTTCCGATTTTCTCGTTTCATGTTCCTTGGTCTTTTCCTGTTGGAACATCGAATGTGGATTTTAAAGGTTGATTAGATGTGATTGCATCGTATGAAGTTGTACAAGAATTGATGCCCCGGCCTATGTTCTGTTTATTGTGAAATGATTTTGGTGTCGGACTTGGATTCAAAGCGTATTATAAGGCTATTCCCATATTAGTCTTACTTGTGGATCCCTCCATATTATGAAAATTTGTAGCTATATAACTTGATTTGGTTGTATATGTTTCTTTTAAAAAATCCATGTTTTTAAGAAAAGCCTTCGGTTTATGTTTTCTCGATAAATACATCGAGCTCAATCTGGAAGTATCGACGAAGGGATCAAACTGGGCCACCCTTGCGGGTTTTTAAAATACCTTATTAAACGGGGATTTTATTGCAAATACATACTATGTAATGAACCCCCCATGCAAAACTAATTTCCACTGCTGCAATATAACAACCATGTGCTGCTGTTACTACTTACTTATTTTCAAACACTACTTAATAATCGATATTCAACGAGTCTTTACAGAAGCTTGGAAGTAATTAGTAGTGGATACCGCCACCACAAAGCAATAGACCGCCTGAATTGATTCTGTTCCGTTGTATATACATTTCAAACAACAATTCTTCACTGTTACGGAGTTTAACGTACTCATCCATGTCGAAGCTGGCGATTTGTCTAGTTTTGCTTGCGTCTTCTTTTTTATTCATCGGAGGACTATGGAAAATACCTGGGCTCCAACTACCATGACTGCTCATGGAATAACTACTCGGATCGTGTAACGGGACAATATCCTGAAAACAAGACACAAAGTTCATCGAAATCTAGGTATAAGAATAAGATCATCTAGGCAAAACAAGATCAAGAGACCTTAATTAAGACAAAAGCAACAAAAATCAAACGAAAACTCGGAATCATCATATTCAGACACTGGGAGTAAGAGAAGCTAACCTTTTCCGAGTCTTTCTTTAGAGATTTTGGAGTCACAGGACTATGTGCCCTGTTCTTTCCTAATGGAGAACCATCATGAATAGTTTCCCACTGCAACCATGGCAGAATAACACCATCCATTTCAACAGGGCGACATGTAGACCCTTTGCTAGTCTTGTTAGTTTCAGCTTCTCTTATTGCAGCATCTCTTGTCTTCTTCGTCCCTCCTAAAGTCGAACTCCCGTCACTTCTTTCCCCGTCGAAGGAAGATATGTCTGTATCTTCAACATTGGAAATGAAATCCTCAATGTATCTTTCTGCCTCCTCAACCAATCGTTTTGACACCCTATTTCTGTCGTTGCTTCTCTTTTAAAACCAAAAGGCAAGAGAGCATTGAATTAAAACCAAGAACTGAGATGTGAACAATTTATTTGAACACATGGAGAAGAAGGAACACCTTTCTTGCACGCAATGGCTTCTTCTCCACTGCAGCTGAATTTATTGAATTAGGAAGTTCTTCGACCATTTTGGAGGCCTCTCGACCTCCTTGCTCCTCAAGCAACATTTCAGTGAGAAGATCTTGCTTGTGCTTCTCCAACTAATATACAAGGTTATTCCATCTCATGAGAATCCCGGATAATTTTTCAACAAAGCTTTAAATAATTCATTAAATGGAACGTATGTTTCTGAGAATATCAAAAGATACGAAACATTAATTCTTGCATGCATGAAAGCAGAACATCACCTGTTCCAATTTTGATTCATATTTATCTCTGATTCTAGAATTTTCTGCACCACCAGTTGAATCTGTTTGATTTTTTCCCATGACCTGCACGCAGAAAAAGGTAGTCGAACATATAAAACCAACCAATGTTTTACCACCATAAAGAACATTGAAAAGTATAAATCCATTATAGTTTCAGCAAACTGAATTGTTTTGGCGGACTTGATTTAGTTCAGTTCGGATTTCTTCAACAGCATATCTGAGTTCTTTCCGCATTGCTTCGTACAATCCACCATTTGCAGTATCTTCAGAAGGGTGTTCGGCCTGAAAGCAGTAATAAATAAATAGGAGAACATAAAAAGGGACAAATAGCTTTCATGGAGTGCCTTTTGAATAAAATGTTCATGCTATTATTGTAAAAAGATCTAAAAAAAAAGAAAATAAAGAAGACAAATTAACCTTCTTATTAGCATAAACTTCCCGGATTATCTTCTCAAATCCATTTTTTCCAAAGTGAGTATCCTTTGATTCGTCGTCAGTTAGAGCAGAAGAGTGGCTCTGAGAGATCCATATGTTAAAGTCATAAAAATGGTTTATATTTTAATTAATCATACTTGTTATTCACAATACTGTCAGCATCAGCTTTGTATATTTCCAAGAAAAAACTCAGAATGCCACAAATATAAGAATAAATAGAAGAAGAATGAAAAAATATAAAAATTTACAAAGATATTCGGATCTTACAGAATAACCATCGTGCAAAAGCGAGATGTCTTTGAGGCTTCGAGATCTTCCCAACCTCCGATTGCTTGAAGCTATTGAATTCGGCGCCAACGGCATTTGGCTGTTCCCACTTTTGGGAGTTTTCACAATAGCATGATTGCTTGAATTCCGAGAATGATCCACCTCACTCTGTAATTTGAACGCAAATTGACAGTTCATATTCTCCTGTTGGGATACATAACTACGCATACAGTTCCTAAACAATCTATTACGCGGATACTAATATTCTCTCTAATGAATGTGCACATCTAGTAATGATCCAATATAGATGTTTAATTTAATTAAATTTCTATATTCAAATAGCTTCTATCCTCAACTTAATGATTGCCATTTTAAGTTTCAATTATTATTTTCATCAAATATTTTAGATTGATATATTTTAAGTGGAACAACAAATTTGTTCTTCATCGAGATTATAGATACAACTATTTATTCACTACAGGAAAGTAAATTAGGGAAGAAAACCTACCTCAGAATCGCTAATTTGGTACCTCGCAACCGACAGGGACCTCCGCCGCCGCGAACCGGCATCAGACGAGATGATTTTTTTGGCCGTTGAGGCGGAGCTAATTGAAGCAACATCACCACCACGGCTCCTCGACACCGACCTCCCCTTTCTGCTAGACGACACCGTATCGCTCGCCCACCGCCCTATCTCCCCACGCCGCGAGACCGACCGCCCCCGTCTCTGCTTCAGCTCCGCCGCTCCTCCGTCGCTCTCGTTGTCATTCTTCGAGGAAGAAGAGGAGAAGAACTCGAGCGCCAGATCATCCAAGCTGATCTCCGGGAACGGCGACGCCGATCCCCTCGTAGTGTTCACGAACTTCCCCCTGGGCACGTTTTTGTTGTAGTCCGCCTCCGTCACCGGAGAATCCGGCGCCGTGGAATGGGAGAATCTGCTGTGGCTGCGGGAACGGCGGAGGGAGCGGCGGAGGGAATTGTCGGAGCTGGAGTTTCCGCCGATTGAGTCTCTCTTCGTGGTTGATCTGAAAGCCGAGGTAGCCATTACTGAATTAATTGGTGGAATTAATCACAATTGAGTTTGAAAATTCAAGTGAAGAGGGAATTTGAATTGGGTGAGAATTCGAACATTTTTGCAGAGCTACAGAGGTTTATCGGAAGAGAGATATATATCTAGAGAGAGAGAGAGAGAGAGAGAGAGTAGTAAATGCGAGGAGAGAGGAAGCTTTGGCGGATTAATCGAAATTTGAGAGCATATTTGAAAATTGAAAAGTAGGCCGATACGGCTAAGCCCATCACTTTGATTAGTTTTATTTATTTATTTATTATTATTATTTTTTTTTTAAATATTTATTATAGATAGAATCATAGAATAGTAGTTGTTTCAAATTTCAATTAGTTGAATTCTACACTTCAATGTAACAAAATTTCCCCTTAAATTATAAAATATACAAATTTTATGCAATTCAAAAAAAAAAAAATTGATGTATTTTTTTTATGAGTATACAAAATTATTTAAATAGATGTATATTCAAATTATTTTTGAAAACCGACTACATATACACACACACACATATATATATATATATATATATATATATATATATATATATATATATATATATATATATATATATATATATATATATATATATATATATATATATATATATATATATATATATATATATATATATATATATATATATATATATATATATATATATATATATATATATATATATATATATATATATATATATATATATATATATGTTCAATCCATTATATATCTTCAATCAATTTATGCAACAAACCATTTTAATACAAATAAAAATTTTTGGTTAGTTTTACAATGCGGATTTTATATAGGGTAAATTCTACTGTCCCCCTTGTATTTTTGTTCGGTTCACTGTACTTCCTTCTACTCTTGATTGCATCGATTTGCCCTGCACTTGAGAAATTGTCTCAATGTAGTCTTTGTTGTTAGTTGTCAGACATTTGACCTTAATACCGTTTGGTATAAGTTCTGAAATTACAAAAAACCCACCCCGCTTAGTTTAAATAATTATTAAAAAATAGATAAACAATAAAAAGAACAAGACAACGAGAAAACATTTTTTTTTTATAATTATTGAAACTGGGAGGGTTTTTTTTTTGTTATTTTCAAACTTAGATCAAACGGTGTTAAGGTCAAATGTCTGAAAAATAATGGCGATGGCTACATTGAGGAAAAAAATTCAAGTGCAGGGGGGAAGTCGATACAATCGAGAGTAGGAGGAGAAAGTGATACCGAGCCAAAGTACAAGGGAGAATGTGGAATTTACCCTTTTATATATCTAAAATGTTAAATGTAGTTTCAACTTTACTAATGTCGTTTTGACTTCGAACCCGATTTTGACATATTTAAATTTTGATTTTGGCAAAATTCGAAAACACGAAAACTGTAGTCCTTTGGGTTAACTTTCTAATCCAACTTAAATCCGCTAGATTGGATGTCGTGTGACAAAGTTATGCATGAATGAGTCATATTTTGAATTTTAGATACATCAATACATCAAAGTTGTGGGCAGTATCAATTGATTCATGTATATCTTTCTCGTCCGACATCCAATTTTGGCGATTCAAGTTGGATTAGAAAACTAACTCATAATACTACAATTTCTATTTTTCGAATTTTACAAAATTTGGAATTAAAAATGATCAAAATCACGTTTAAAGTCGTAACGATATTATTAAAGCTCGAACGACATTTATCACATCCCTAATATTTTAAAAACACTTATTTTCATTTTTTTTTCTATGCTTCTCACTCTACTCAATTTAGGTTTAGCTCAATTTGATATAACACCTCAAAGGCCTATTGAACTTATTTTTAAGTTTTTCTTTATAAGCTTGATTTTGGAAAAGTTAATCGAAAGTTTTTATTTATTTATTTATTATTTATTAAAAAAAGAAAAAAACACTTTCTCCAACGTAGGTATGAAAGTGACAAGAAAGCGTGATATCATTAATATTAAATATTAATAGACGTTGTTTGAACAATCACGAGATCCTTAAATTAAAATGCATAACGTTGCTCAATAATTCCCTAGTCTTCAAGGGGAAAATTTAATTGTCGACCCGCTCCTTGGCACAATTAATGCTAATTCGTAATTTAAATATTTACATTTACTATTATTTTATTAAAAGATTTATCATGTTTTAACCTTTGAATTTGATCATAATTACACATAATTACGTCCGTACGTCGCAACCAAATCAATTGGAATTTTTTTTTATAATCATATAACATGAATTTGAATTTTGAAAATCAACATTTTTTTTTCTAAAATAATATAATGGTGGGTAGATTCTAATTTGTGGGGATTTGAAGCCATCACACCTTTTTTTTCCAGAGAAATTCATTACAAAAATGAAAAAAAAAAGAAGTAAATATAATGTTAAATTTTATTTAAAATAGTATAAATTTCAGCTATAATATTTTATATTGTAACGATTAATATGCATAAATCAAAATATATAGATTTGATAAACAGTACGGAGGAAAACAAAAAAAACATAATGGGCCACAAATCGTATTCTGAAAAAGTAGGGGACCAAAATCTATATTTATAAATTATTACTTAAAGATATAGGGCAAATTACGAGAAACCCTATGAGGTACTGTTTAATTATGAAAATCCCTGGCATGTTTGAGTAATTACAAAAAATTTCCACCTCGATGAAATGTTTATGCGTTGGGTATACATTTGCAAACTCTTGTTCTGCAACAATTTCAAAAGCTTGAGCAGTAACTTCAAGTCTGTCTGGATCGGTACCATGGTTTGCATTTCCAGGATTGACGCCGTCTCGGGTTGTGCGTTATCGTCGTCAGCTGATACCACGATGATTTTTTCATCGGCACTAGGATTTTCGACGGGCTCCGGGATGAAGATACACTCTAATGCGTAGGTTTCCGACAGTGGCGGTAAACAAAAGCAAAATTACTTGTCTGTATTACCCAAATAAAAAAATGAATTTTGCTTGCCAAAACAAAAGTAAGCGAATGGATAAATTAATAATTACTAATTTGGATAATGTACTAGCATATGATAACTGATTTCCTTCAATATGTGTGTTAATAATTTTTTTATGCGATTTGTAGGTGACGAAGGAAGAGAGAACGTTTAAAATCAACGGTTTTCCATTGTATGAAGATTGCAACTTTGTGTTTGAAGTTAAACATGCTCCGGTTATCAACTTTTCGCGGTGTTAGGGGCAACGATCCGGATTGCCCGTTAGTGATCGACGCTACAGAGGATGAAGAACAAGATGCTGCTCCTCGACCACAAGAAGATCCAAATGTACAAGTCGTGGATCCGCATTAATTACCCGATCTATTTGGACCTTCTTTATAATCAGATCTGAAATGACGTTGGTGACAACAATGGAAATGAAGGCGATGCGAATGGAGTGGTTGAACCCGCTATCAGTTTCAACGACCACATTGATTTTAGTGACCATTCCGATGCTCTTTGAATGTTTAGTTTAAGGTTATTGATCTTAAACTAAACATTCAAAGAGCATCGGAATCGTCACTGGAATCAATGTGGTCGATGGAATAAAAGTAGTATCTAAAATGGACATGAACAAAAAGTACTGCCGGAACTTAGAAGGGGGAGGGGGCTGTGGGCCCCCCAAGATTATTCTTTTTGTTTTTAGGTATTTGGTATTGTATTGTTTGAATATTACTTTTGACCCCCTAAAGTTTTTGTCAATACGTGTCTTGATATACCTAATTGAGCCGACCCAATGGGTCCCCAATTTATCTAATAATTGGGCCCAATACACGAAAGCCCAAACACCTTCAAAATAAGGCTTGGGCCCAACAAAGTAAACTCAACCCAATCAACACATATAAATAGAGGTTTTTATTCATTTGTTAAGGTACGTTCTTGTTTTTTAGGATAAATACAATCACTAAGATTAGGCACCCATGGCCAAATGAGACGGGAGTAAAGGTCCCTCCAAAATGTCAACAATTGTCAAAGAGGCTAAAGACTGAGCAAGGGAATTACCTTGTCTCTTAACAAAAGAAAATAAACATGCATCAAAAGACAAAGAAATGGATAAACAATTATCCAAGGTAGCACCATAAGTACACAGTGAGTTTTCTTTATTGTTGAGAGCATTGACCACTTGAAGAGAGTCCCCTTTCACTTGAATCGAGTTCCATCCCATTGACTGAGCCATAATAAGAGGTTGGAGGAAAGCCCTAGCTTCACATTCCAATGGTGTGAGGCGTCCCATAATTTTATTAGTTTTCCATCAAAAGCAATTTCCGCTAGCATCCCTGGCTACCGATGAAACTTGGAAAAACGGCTCCCCATGAGGAAGGGAGGCATCTACGTTGATTTTAATCATTCCTTCCGTCGGCGGCTTCTAACACTCCTGGAGTTTCAGTGACGTCTTGGGGAGAGAACAAGATTGTGCCTCTGTATAGGATCGAAGAAAGGCACCACACCACCCTATTATATCCATCATCTCAAGTGTCTGCTCCCCATTAACACTTCTATTTCGTGATTCCCACAATTTCCATGCCACCATTGCCGCAAGATACAACCGCTCCTTGCTCAAGGTTGTACTCACTAATTCCCACCATGCCCCGAAGGACGTGCAATCTTCAACTATGGTTTGCAGGGAAAATGGTTCATTCTTCCAAATATGGGCCACTCCTCCGCAAACACCAATAACATGCATAAGGGTTTCTCCCGCCGTTCCGCACCGATCACAAATTGGATTAGTTATCACTCACAAGTATTCTAGAGTGCATATTCTCCCTACCATCTCCACGATCCTGTATATATGACTCGAGCGTGTGAGGGGTTTCCGCCGGATCAACCCCCGGCTTAGTTCACGTATATATATATCTCGGGGACCTCGCGAGCATAAAAATGTCAAGATATAGATACACTTTTCTCTCTCTCTTTGTTTTTTACTCTCCCCACGTGAGTATATATATATATATATCTATATATATATATATATATATATATGTTTATATATATATATATATATATATATATATATATATATATATATATATATATATATATATATATATATATATATATATATATATATATATATATTAAACTGCAAAATGTACCCCTGTGTAATCTCCAAATAGCAAAACTCCTATGTTATAAATAAACTAGCAAAAACCCCCTGATTGACTTATGTGTGGCTGATTCGCGGGTTGCGGGTTATTTCTATGCTACACCCGGTGAAGGTTACACCGGATGATCTTTTACCGTTGATCTACACACACCAATGTGGGTGTGTGTGTGTTTGTGTGTATATTAATGGTAAAGATCTACCCAGTGTATTTCACCCTGTGTAGCATAGTGTAAGCCCGGGTTGCGTGACTAGTAGTTGGTTTTTGGACGTGAAATGACGAAATTGCCTTAAAATGTATTTATATGTATATATATTATATGTATGTATATATATATATTATATGTATATATATTTTCTTTTTAATTTGATGGTTTAAAAATTAAAATATTGTTAAAAAAATAGTAAATAATTAAATTGAAAAAATATTAAAAATTTGTTAATCAAATTAAGTATATATTTTTTTTAAATACATAATAATGAAATTTAAGTTTTCTTTTGATATAGGAATAATTTAAAATATATACAAAAATTATGTGATAATAAAAATTGAAATAAATTAAACACTCCATTGTACCTTTATAATTTTTTTTTTGAGAAAATTGTACCTTTATAATTAAGATATAACAAAAATAAATTAATTAAAATATTTAAAAAATATAAGAATTTATTAATTGCAAAATCCCGGGGGTATTTGAGTCTTTTTATATGAAGTGAACCCTCAAATGAGTAATGGGCCGAGTGTGCTATTTAAATAATTTTACAGGGGGGATTTTGCTAGTTTATTTATCATAGGGGGGTTTTTGCTATTTAGAAATTACACAGCACAGGGGTACTTTTTGCAGTTTAATATATATATATATATCAAATTGAATATAAAAATATAAAATAAAATGGTTAAAATATGAATTATTTTAATAAAACTTATGAATGTTCACTTATTTTCGAATTTTGTTTATCAATGCTCTAAAAATTAAAAAAATATTAAGTGCAACATAGTATTAGAATAATTTGGAGGAATTTAAAAAAAAAAATTTATTCTTAAAATATAATAAAATTATAATATGTATGCTATTTTTATTAAAAATTAACAATATAGACTTATTTTTTACAATATTTTGTGAACCAATTTTTTTTTGGGGCGTTGCCCTGAACACTGCTATGTTTTGATTCTGTTTATGCCGCGACAAAAAGCGAGCACGTGCAGCGAAATTGCGGTGGAAATAATTATGGCAAAGTCCCATCCTCAAAATAGAATTAAATTACCCAGAAAAGCAAAATAAAAAATATCAAATACTCAAATTAATAATACTAAGGCACGTGTCGAGCAACTTTTATCCATCTATTTCTTGTCCCTTGTATTTGATGGTTTCCGCTGAGCATAGGTTCTCTCGTTAAATATTGCATGATATTCTCTAAGAAACAAATTTCATTTTGATCCTCTAAGTTGGCATATTTACAGATTTAGTCCTTTAAACCATTCTATTTAGTTTTACGTATAATCACTTTGTAAGTTTTGTATTTTCAGCCAATTTTACTTGAAATTGTATTACTCTCAAGTCTTACCATTCAATACATTATTAACTCTGGATGGCAAACAAAGTCGTGGGACCAACTTTATATAAACACTTCAAAAATTATAAATTTATCATATAACTTGGCCTGGATAGATAATTATCCATCTTGAAAAAGATGACAAATATATAAAATTAATTAAATTGTAAAAATAAATAAAAATTCAACGTGTGTAAATGATACGATATATATTTAATATATCGTATATTTATTCGTTAGTTAGTATTTTATTATTTAATATATTATTTAAGTATTATTTTAATTAGTAGTTTATTGATAATTAGATTAGATAGTATATTTAGATTAATATATGGCGTGAGTAGTAGTGATTAGGGAATTATTAAGTATTTTATTAGTATAGGTAATTATGTTTCCTAGCTAGATTAGGATTCTAGGGTTTTCTTATATTTAAATAGTCGTCTTGTGCTAGGGTTTTATTATGAAGAGAAATAATAAAGAAGAGTTTTCTTACGTTTAGTACAGAAATCTTATGATACTCAAGAGATCGCATCAATTGGTATCAGAGCGAAGTTGCGATAACACCAACGCTTCGCTAGCAAAGCAGAGATTATATCAAAGCTAAGCTGGAGCAAAGTTGAGATCACATCAAAACTTTGTGAAAATCATGATGTCCGAAACAAGACGGTTAGAGCGATTGGAGAAATCCGTAGAGAGATTACAGATTGATTTTCAGAAATTGCTCGAACAAAGTCACAGACGACGTCAACACCAACACAAAAGTCGAAGGGACCGCCGCCCATTACCGCCAACGCCACCGCCGCTGCCGCTGCCGAGCCTATCGCCGGAGGAAGAGGAAGAGGACGACGATGAATTTTTCAAAGAGCCACCGCCGCCGCCGCTGCCGAGCCTATCGCCGGAAGAAGAGGAAGAGGACGACGATGACTTTTTCGAAGAACTCCAATTTTTTGTGAGTTCGCCAGAAGAAGAGGAATCAGATTCAACTGAGATGAAGTGGGACGAAGAGCCGAAAGAAGAAGAATCGGAGTCAACCGAGATAAAGTGGGACGAAGACGAGAAATTAACCAGAGAGGAGAGCGAAGAGTTACTATGGATATTGGGAGATTTCCATGGTGTTCAAAAGAAAGGAGAAGAAGAACCGATGGTCAGTTTGGAGGAGACAAAATCTACAAAGACGATTGAAAAAGTTTATTTATCGGGAAAAAGATTGGATATTTTCGCTAAAGTAGCCTTTGGAATTTCGATGGATCAGCATGAACAATGTATTAAAAAGCTCGGTCGTTCATCGTGTTTTTCGGAGTCAATCGTGAAGCAAGTCAATGAAGTCAAACATAGGTGGAAACGCAAAGGAGAGGGATCAAATTGACTCGAACCTTGAGGACAAGGTTCATTTCAAGAGGGGTGGTTTGATACGATATATATTTAATATATCGTATATTTATTCATTAGTTATTATTTAATTATTTAATATATATTATTTAAGTATTAATTTAGTTAGAGCCGTAGGTTTAATGATTATAGGATAGATATTAAGTATTTTATTAGTTTAGGTAATTATCTTTCCTAGTTAGATTAGGATTATAGGGTTTTATTCTCTTTAAATAGTCGTACTGTGCTAGGGTTTTAGAATGCAGAGAGAAATATTAAAGAATAGATCTTACGTTTCGTAAAGAAATATTTATGATACACAAGAGATCGCATCAATTGGTATCAGAGCGAAGTTGCGATTAACACCAACGCTTCGTTAGCAAGGCAGCGATTATATCAAAGCTACGCTGGAGCAAAGTTGAGATCACATCAAAACTTTGTGAAATCATGATGTCAGAAACAAGACGGTTGGAGCGATTGGAAAAATCCATAGAGAAATTACGGATTAATTTTCAGAAATTGCTTGAACAAAGTCAAGGACGACGTCAACGCCATCATAAAAGCCGAAGGGACCGCCGCCCATCACCGCCAACGCCACCGCTACCATCACCACCGCCGCTGCCGAGCCTATCGCCGGAGGAAGAGGAAGAGGACGACGATGAATTTTTCGAAGAACCCCAATTGTTTGTGAGTTCGCCGAAAGAAGAAGAATCGGATTCAACTGAGATAAAGTGGGACGACGAGCCGAAAGAAGAATTATCGGATTCACGTGAGGTAATTTGGGACGAAGACGAGGAATTAACAAAGGAGGAGAACGAAGAGCTACGATGGATATTGGGAGATTTCCATGATGTTCAAAACAAAGAAGACGAAGGAGAATTGACGATTTTCAAGGAGAGTAAGAAATCTAACAATGCTATTGAGAAGATTGATGTATCACTAAAAGTGTCAAATATTTCCTCGATGATGTTTAATGAATTGTTTGACCATAACAAACAATACGTTAAAGAGTCAACGATGGTGGAGACATGTGATGAAGTAGTCGATCAATTGATTGAGATTCGTGTTCTCAGCATCCTACATGAGAACAAACTATTTTTGAAGAAATTTGATGGCATCAAGCATAGATGGAAGCGCAAAAAAAAAGAGAGAGCTGCAAATATTCGAAGAGAGAGCTGCAAATATTCGAACCTTGAGGACAAGCTGCAAATATTCGAACCTTGAGGACAAGGTTCATTTCAAGAGGGGTGGTTTGATACGATATATTAAATAATATATCGTTTAATTATTAGTTTAGTTAATAATTTATTATTAATTAAGTAGATTAGTATATTTTATATATATTATTTAAGTATTAGTTTATTTAGTTTACATAGGAGCCGTAGTATTCTAGGTATAGGATAGGTATTTAATATTTTATTAGTATTTTATTAGTATAGGTAATTATGTTTCCTAGTTAGATTAGGATTCTAGGGTTTTATTCTCTTTAAATAGTCGTATTGTGCGAGGGTTTTGAGAATGAAGAAAAATAATAAAGAAGAGTTTTCTTACGTTTCGTAAAGAAATCTTATGATACACAAGAGATCGCATCAGTAAAATTGTAAATTAGGGCGAAACAGAAACAAAAAGGGTAAATTGACAAAGTTGTTGCATGTAAAACTAAAATAGCACAACTTAAGTGACCGAATCCAAAATAGTCAAAATTTCGAAGGACCAACAAAATAATAAGATCATTTCAAAAAAAAACCCTAGATAAAATAATACAAGCTGATTCCTCTGATCTGCAACTCTGCATGAGTTCACGTGATTTTTTTTTTTTTATTCTGGTTAACTATATTGAGCTCAATATATATATATATATTTCAAGTTTACAACAAAATTAATTAACGAGCAAATAATATGAAGATCGAAATATTGTCGAAAGAACTCGTGAAACCTTCTTCTCCAACACCAACTAAGCTCAGAGAATTCAAACTATCTTTCATTGATGAGAGAATACCTCATTCTTACATCCCTCTAATTCTTTACTATTTTGGAGACAATTATAATATTAACATTAATAATATTCGGGTAATAAAGAGTTCGTTATCAGATGCTTTAGTCCGGTTTTACCCTTTGGCTGGAAGGATGAAAGGCCAGGCTTTGCTCGATTGCAACGACCAAGGCGTTTTGTATATCGAAGCTAATGCTGATGCTGCGATAACGGATGTTATCAGATCTGTGGATTTGGATGTACTTGACGAGCTTGTGCCGTTTAAAAATAACGGCTATTTTTCGAGTGCGAGAGTGCAATTAGCTGTTCAGGTTAGTAAGGATATGTATTCATTCAATTATTCACTACCAGTTCATAGAAAGTTATTGGTTTTTTTTTTTTTTTTTTTTTTTTTTATGTTTTTTTTCCATTATATAAGAAAGGCAATGGGAAGGGTATATATAAGAATTTCTGAAATTTTGATTTTTAAAATTTTCAAAATATTTATCAGAATAATTAAGTTAATTTTGTATCTAAAATTCCTTAATTTTTTTTATTTCATTATATTTTTTTTGAAATGTTTCCGAAATCTCTGAAATATTTTTTAGAAATGGAAATTAAAAAAAAAAATGTGTCTCAATTCCACCCAAGATTTGGGTCCTAAATTTCCAATCATATTTTATCTCGTATTCCTAGAGTCGGAATTGAAACGGAATTTTGAATTACGCTAATTCTATTTTGGAAAAATATTTTTATTTCGACTTCTAACACTCCATTTGTGACTTTTTTCAATTCTAGTTTTTTTGGATTGAATACATAAGAGATTTCAATTTTCGATCCGATTTTATTTTCTAGAAATAAATTCCACCTCCTCCCCACATCCAAAGAGAAAAGTACAGTTATAATATTTTCCGATTATAGGTGAATAAATAACAGAATTTCCGATTTCCACGGATTCCATTCCAAAATTTGGACAATTTTTTTTTTTGTATCCAGAAATTCAATTTCCATTTTTTCCTCCTAATTTTCTTAGAAATGAAATTGGAATTAATTTTTCAATCTCTAAAAAATGGAATATCTTCAAAAATGATAGTCCCGGTACGATCCATCTGATTTTCATCCCTACGCATTGAAAATATTACAACGACATGATAATAATATTATACACTTCTTTTTCTTGAGAAAACCTTATACATGTTAATCCCTATGTGCGTATGTAAGTATGGGTGTAAATTGGCCGAATTAGATTGAAATTAGCATTTTCGGGAAAAAATATATTGGAAAAGGAAAACTAATTCAAACTCGTTCGATTTTTTTTTTGGAAACATGGAATTTCAGAAATTGAAATGAAAAAACTTGTTTCAAATAATAATTAAAAAAAAAAAAAAATCGGATTGGACTCGGTGAATACCGTAATGTTACTTTTCTTAATCGCCCATGACATGAATTCGGAAAAAGCGAATTTAATGTATTACGTATGCAACTCCATAAATTAAAATCTAATTTTTTTCATAAATTCGACT